TATTCTTCTATATTCTTCGAAGTTTACATCACTATAGCCTACAGAAACTAGCTTATATTGGGCTCTACTATCTAAATTCATAATAGTGTTTTAGTAGATTATAACAGATTATAACGATTTTAAAGTACTTTATCGATTTTAGCAATTTTACTATTTTTATCAATTTATAGTGATTTATAACAGTTTGTAACAACTATATTATAATAAATATCGGATTCATTTTTATTCGATTAACTTCAGGGTGGAAACATATTTATAACTGATTTTTTTGATTCAGTTAAATTAGATCCGATACAATATACACAATATGATTATCATTGTATTATGGTCCTTTCCAGTATCTCGTTAGTCGTCACTTTCAGTTTGTAGATCTCTCGTGATTAACAGGAGGGTTTAGCCAGAGATGCTTCGCATGATGTATTTATATAGGATGATCAGCTAATTTAGTCATATGGATTCTTATTCGAAATCTTATTGGGAGAAGCGTAATATTAATGTCACAGCTAAACCAATGATATCTGGCAAAATTTTGGAACAGAGTTATTTATGCCGATTAATATGGTAGAATGGAAACTGGAAACTTTATGATTTTAGCTCTGAGAGCCGTGACATTAATGTCATACTACTTTACAAATAAAAAATTAAAAGTGGGAGAGATCGCCCTTTATTATCAAAAGTTACACAAAATACATATAGCAGTAGGTACGTATTTATTCGTTTAATCTAGCAATAAGAAAATCGACATCATCTGGGAATAAATTTAAGATTGTGGTAGAATTAAAAGACTTTAACCGTTCTATTACTTCTATATCACTAACATTACTAAAGAGCCTGAAAACCTTTTTACCCTGTTCCTTTCTTTTTCGAAGGTTAGTCTCAGTAAGTTTATCTTGCACAGAAATCTGATTCATGATTCTATCATTAACTTTAGCATTAGATATATCCTCATTACAAGTTTTTCTAAAATGATGAAGGATTAGCATACACATCCTCAAATCTCATATGCGAAATGATGGTTGCCGAAAAAATATCCATACCTGAATATTGTTTTATTGATATGAGAACACGCAATCTTACATTGTACAGTACGTTGTACAGCCCGTATACTTTTGGCAAGAATTTTACTGGCACATTTCAGGTGATCGAATTTACATGCCTCGCTTTTGTTAATGATAGGCCTCCCAACATTAAAGGTGATAGGCTAGTTCTCGCCATCACCTCATCAACCTATAACATTCTTTATGTTTCATTCTTATGGTCTTTATTACAACCAATTGCTTTTCTCCATTTACAATTCTTCTGATCAAGTGATTGTCACTTCGGACTAGCTGAGTCAGAAAAAAACTTTACTGATACTACACATAGTATATACTGCAGAACATTTTTACATAAGCCACACACTCACGTAATTCGAAAAAATAAGTTTATCCTCAGATAAATATTCCAGATCAAATTGCATACACTCACAACATGATGTAAGAACTATTAGAAATAATATTTTAAAATACAGCTAGAACAATTACATATATTATTTAACTAATCTATGCGCTGGTGTTTTGTTTTGTTTTTTTCAAATTATAACTTACTAACGTAAAGTGTAGAATTTTAGATTTCTAACGGCGTCTAGATGGTGACGCTTTCAGTGGATTTTCGTCAGACAAAGAATGTTTCTGTGCCTTACGTGATATTTCTTGTAACTTTAAGTAATAATCCATAACTCAGCTCTATAATGACAAATATAAAGTTAGATCAATAATCATACTAAGAAAACGATTACTGGAATTCATACCTTAAAGAAATATACTTTCTCTAAGATTTCATCTATCACGTACACTTGATCTTTGTTATCCGGAATAGTAAAATTTGTTATGATGTCTACAACGTACAATCCTCCTTTGACACAGTGCATTGCATATATTGTTATCTCACGCTCTAAATTGATAAGCAAAATACGTTAAATCATTAGATTAGTAACTGTAACACAAATGTAATGGTACATACGGTATACGAGTATACCAAAGCTTTGGAGACATAGGAGTTGTTCTGCTGTTGCATTACGTTCTAAGTGATGCTGACGTTGGTAAAAAATTGAAATTTGCATCACTACAAAGATAACAAACTCTATGAGCTTTACTGCATAAATTCTTCGAGACAAGAATATCTGAAAATCGCAAACCTTTGAACAGTTTTTCCATATCTGTACAGTATCCAGTAAGTTCCACTTGCATTGCATTTCCCACCACTTCCAAAAACCCAATCTCAATTTACTTGCATTCATATAAATCTTTAAAATCCCGTCATGTTTTGACCCAAGACTTACACAGGGCTTTAGGCCATTTGTTTGATTTTGATGTTGCTTACGTAAAATACTCTCTATTTCTCCGCTATACAAAAATATTATTATATTTGATAAGTAAAGAGTTTATTATATTAGGTATAAACAAACTACATATAATATAATAACATACATTTAGAACCTAATCTTATCACTCATGTCGTCAAATACCTTCGGAATTATAGGATTAACGAATGAATCTCTGTAAGCTATCTCCAATGTATTTGCATCACGAAGTATGTTGAAAGATGAGGCGAATAGTAATATACTAAAGGGTAGTATGGAATTAATTGACTGTGTTATAATATATTAAGTAGTAAGTTATCGTTATACTTACAATCGCTGATAGATATCCTGCATCCATAGAAGTTCATAATGCTTTTTAAAGTCAAATTCGTCCTCAAATGGACTATCAAAAATAACTTTTGTTGATGATTGCTGAGCATCGTCATCAAAAATTGACTCCAGCCTCACTTCAATGGCAAGTGCATACTTATTAATCAGAGGCTTGATAGTCTTTTCCCATTTTGATTGACGTGCTGTATTCCGTTTCTCTTCGGCTGATGGCTCTATCTAAAGAACATTCAAGATTATTACCGATTACAATCTAAAAAGCTGATAGCTAACATATGGAACACATACTTCTTCCCAGTATTTTTTCATTTTTTCTTTATCGTCAATTGAAAAAACTTTATTTACTGGATTAGCGAGGTTTTTTTCAGAGAGATTGACAATATGATATTCGAAGAGCCGATGATTCATATTTTCCATTTTTGTGATAAGGTATTGAATTTCTTCCATTTCCTCCTCACTTTCAATGGGGGGATATTGAATGTCGGTTGATGACTTCTCAGTTGGTGCTTCCTTGTTTTCGTTATCAATATATAAATCATCAAAAAAATCAGTATCGTTGCTATTGGACTGAAAGTCTTCGGCTGTAATCTTCAATTTCTTTTTCGGGTTATCACCATCATAAAGTTTCATAATTTCATCTCCTTGGCTGGTTGTAGACTTATCAAAAATGTCGACTGAACGTAAATCGACCTTTCGTTTGACTCTATTCTATTAACAGAAACAAACAGAAACAAAATGTATTATCAGTTAAATTCTTTGCAAACGAAGAACTAACTTTCCTTACCCGTTTCTACTCAATCAGTCTTGAGCTTTGCATATTCTCGATTTGCACCCACAAATTTCTGCTCGCTTTTTCATTTTTTAACTGCAATAAAAAAATAAAAGAAATACAATAAGAATCTATTTCATAAAGATATTGATAGCGTAGGACGATGGAAGGTGAGGAACGTCACCCCATACTCCGTGTATTATCACGAGAACGTCACTCGCCGAAGCTCCTTCAAAATCGTCCTATACTTAAGACGAGGGTGGGGAACGTCACCCCATGCTCCATGAATACACTGTACTCTTACGGGAACGTCACCCGCTGGAGTTCCCACGTCTCTTACAGGAGCGTCACCTGCACTTTCTTTACATTATACATAACCTTTTTGATAATCTTTTCGTCAAATATAAATTCTTGCGCAATTAACATAAATCGTTTCTTCCATCTGGCGTTTTGTCAGATTGTTCAATTATTAACGTTTTATTTTTATACAAGAAATTATTATAGGATAATTTAGCAGGACGCGTATCCTCGAAATATGCCCTGATCTCTGTTTATAGGATGAGAATTATTTAAAGATAGGCAAGAAAGTCAGAACTCATAGATATGAAACGTTGGAACCGAACTTAAATAATATCTCGTCATTACCATCATCACCTTTCTCGAAAGACATTCTGCTTAAAAAAAAAACGATACAATGAAATCTCGAACCTATATAACGTACCTTATCACGTGCCAACGTGCCGTCAATCAGATGCGTAATATTATTTGATTAGGAACGATATAGATTTTAATCAATTTATTATTTGATATTTTTGATTGTTCTAATTGAAGGATGTCTTTATTATTCAATTGGAATGATGTATTACAAGCCAGCTACTATAAATACATTTAACAAGGTTAGACTTAGCGATTTGTAAGCTATAATAGCTCACATAATGGAAAGTAAAATTGTTATGAAAACAAATTCTTAATTACCTTTTTACATATCTTTAATATAACTATTTTAACAGAACTGCATACAACCCTTATAAAAATTTTTGCAAATTCCTTAGTCTAACCAAAGTGATAATGTATGTTTCGATTGAAGGTTTCTTAATTAGGAAGGTGAGTTCAAACGCCATTGATATCAAAAATCTTGGTCGGGTCCAAGTTTGCATTAAAAATAAAGAAAAGATCCTTTATCATCTTGACTCTTCTTTTGTCATTGATCTTGGAACTTTCAATAAGCAGGCAGACAAGGAAATAGGTTAAGGAAAAACTGATGAAAACAGATCGGAATTTCCGTATATGCCTTGTACAGTAAATTTAATTTTTAAGCTGCAAATTTTCAAATCACCTTTTATTTACGATATTCTTTCAGGAGCTTTCTCTCTTTCTCACTCGAAATTATTCTTAACAAAATTTGTTCCGTTTACTTAAAACATTCGTCGATATATTTCATACAAAGGATAGGTTTTTAAATCAAAGTATGCATTAAGTTTTGAAATCATTTAATTTTGATACTATATCTTAATTGATTCTGGTCAGTCTTTTTCACATTATTGTAATTGTAAATTGAACGATCCCAGAGGCATACTGTGCATACTGCGAAACCATAACTGTTTATAGTAGGACGACTAGAGAAGTAAATATGACAAAAAAAATAAAAATAAAAATTGAAGACAAACTAAATCAAATAAGAATAAAACGCATTGAATCAAGCAAACAAGACTCTGTTCAACAAAAGAGAAAAGCAAAGAAGTGGTTTCAATATGTTTATTTTTAGGTACATAAGCAGGTTTCTTTTTTAAAAAAAAATTCTCAATGAATTCACGTTCGTGCATTCTGCGCGTTAACGTTGCTCGACCAATAACGGGTTAGAAAACAATTTTTAATATGTTGATGCAAAAGAAAAATAAATCTCAAGGTTATAGTAGACCGGAGTTTTGCCAACTCTAAGATTGATGAATTTTTATTATTTTGTTCAAACAAAACATTATTTCAAACATATTTATTTTTATAGGCAGGTAAGCTTAAAACTTTAAGATCTTTGTCTCTCGATAGAAAATCACAACGGTATCGGTTGAAAAACCTCTTCTGGTGGTGCATCAAGACCATCATCCACACCTGCCATTACAGAAGCGATGTAACTGAGTACAATCAATACTTTGAGGAGTTGTTCATTTTTGACTATTTGTTAACGATAAGGAAAAAAAAAAAAATAAATATATATATATGTACACCAAATTATAAACAATAAAAGTAACACTTACAGATGATTGTTCTTTTTTTTTTAATTTTTTTTGAATGAAAGATTAAGACAACACGGTGAATTCGAATTTATTTTATATAAATCTTCCATTTAGGACTCAAGGCTTAAAATAAGCATTAGTATATCCTGGCTTATTGTTTATTTTATAGTATAAGCTTTAAGTAACATATACAGATGTCAAAAAATTTCGTTTTTTGTGGCTTAATTGTACTTGTGCCCACTCAACATAATGGCTTGTTATTTAAATATTTAGAACGTAACACATGTAATGTTAATGACCTTAATAATTGTATTCATGCTAAGCATCAAAAATTTTGACACGTTTCAACGAGATTATTATATCATCCGCAGACTTACTAGTAAAAAAATGAGTATGCACATAATGTGAAATCGAGTCGGTATATTTAATTTGGTTCTGGGTTTATTTTAATAAAAAACCAAGTTGCGTAACTGATTCAGATCAATCTGTGCGTCAATCGATTTTTTATATCCCACTATTTGTAAAAAAAATTCTCTATCTTGTTTATTTGTAATCTTTATTAATAAGTAGATAATAATCATCCAGTATAGAGGGCCAGTCTGAGAAAATGGTTTGTAATTTTTTTTTCAGCTTTAAAATGATGCATTGTATACTTTAACTGGTGTAATGGTTGTGAAGCTAACCCGATTTAAAAAGTTGTCATTTTTTTTTTGTACACCATTGTATATAAAATAAGTTTTTTTTTTGTTGATGACGAATTTTGTAAAGTTTTTTGTTTAATGATTTTTTTTCTAAAGGGAAACAAAAAATTCATATGAATTTTTTTTTTTTTTTTTTTTTTTTATAGAAAAAATATGTAAGAGAAAAAATGTACAAGGAATGAAAATTTAAAGTACTTCCAAATTCATTAAATAATTTTTTTTATAAAAAAAAATGAATTTCTTTAAAATTAATGTATGATTATTTTTGGATTGTTGAAATGTACAAATTGTATGATTTTTTAATATAGACAAAAAAAAAAAAAAAAACCTGACTCGTTAAAATTAAAAATTCTATGAGACAAATAAAAATAGAATAAAATGTTCATTTTACAACTAACTTAATTTTAACCCAATTAAAAAATCCAATTTATTATTTTAGTGATCCCAATCCCTAAATTTTTTAAAAAAAGAAAATGAGATCGAATTAGTTGGAAATAAAAAATTAAAACGAGAAAATAAAAACAATGCAACTTACAAGATCTTCAAGAAATTTATTTATACCATCTTTATTTTTCTTTGGGAACAACGATTTAATATCAAATTCATTTATTTTTAGTACAAATTTTTCTTCTCCCTAATCAAAAAAAAAAAATAATTAATTTACAAGTAAAAATTAATTGTTAAATTAATATAAATGTTTTTTTTACTACCTGATCATTCTTTAAAGCGTTCACATATCCCTTTACTATTTTTTCTATATCTCGGTCACTATCCAAAGCTCCAAGAAGTGTTGTAATATCCCGAAAATCAAGTCCAGTACTATATAATAATTGTCCTATAAACGAATAAGCCATTGGTGCATCTGCACCAATTTCCATTAAAAATTCTAACGATCCCTTAAAACCATCTTTGAAATTACTAATATCGCAAGTTTCGGATGATATAATTTCTTTGAATAAATTTATAACATTGTCCACATCTGCCTGCTTTTTCTCAATTACTTTGTTTGTAATTTCCTCTATTGCTTTTGCATGAAATTCTGTCGGGATCTCCTTGAGACAAGCGAGGACCTCCTGAAAATGATATTATCGTATTAATAACCAGTTTCAATTTTGAAGTTTTTTACAAAATAATTAATAGATGAAGATATACGTAATAGTTATTTTACGGAGAGCCGTAGATATCATGCAATCATCACAATTCTAACGTGATGATAAATGATATTAGGCTGACCATGAAATAACTGTATATATATCATTAGTGGTTCAAACTCCTATCGTAAAGATGTCAAAAAAAAAAAATTTCACAGGAGAATAATTAGGATCGGAGTTAATCTTTATTATTTCACTTACTTTAATATCCAAAACTGAAAAGTACTCCGCAATCATACTATCGATCTTCTTTACTGCCACCTCTTCTGGCATCGTTTGTACTGATGATGCCGCCTCGGCAGACTTAGATGCAGTTGATTTGATAGCAGACTGAGACTCTTCGGGCGTAGTACCGATTGTGCGCGGCAATAAAGCTAATTTTTTACGTTCCATTGGAACGAATTTTTGAGGTTCTGAAGCTGCAAATTCTGAGCTCTTCCTTCCCTCAGAGCTCTCTAATACACTATACATATTTGACGTCGAATTCGTTCTACTTAGACCTGCAGACTTGTCTTCTCGATCTTTATTATCACTCTTGCTCCAAGCTTTAGTAAAATTTCCAAGACTGCCTCCTGGTGCTAAACTGACGTTGCTAGTGTTTTTACTACTACGAATAGATCCGAATTTAGTAAGGTCGCCGACTTTATTATTTCTCTGTGAACCTCCTCCAACGTTAATCCATCCATCGTTTCCAGGTGTTGCCGATCCGTGAGATGACATTCCTTTGTCCGATCGGTGGTCACGACGACCTGAACCACTACGCGACATTTGCTCTCCAATTTTAGGCAGACCTGTAATAAATTTTATATCGTATCTATTATCCATTTAAACAAAAAGATGCCTATATAATAATTTAAAAATGAGTTTACCTCTACCACCTGAGCTAGCTGTTCGTCTAAGGAAATCAGCTTCCTCTTTTTGTTTTGCAGCCTATAACCAAAAATAAAATACGTTAATAAAAAGATTTATTTAATTCACGTTGAAGAATTTTACTATTTATAATATTATATTACATCTTCATGGATTTCTGCAATTGTCTTTGGAGCATTAATATCTCGTCGAGGTTTCCAAGAATTACTTCGCAAATCGATGATATCCTAAAAAGAATAATTAAGAATTATTTTTAGTAAAAGAAATATTTTCTTAAGAAATAATTAAAAAACCTACCATTATCATGAATTTTATGCGACTTGTCATATTTGGGTGTTTCAATATATCTTCCATGCGATTAAAATAATTGTCCATAGCCTGTCTTGCTTTTGCATCATCAAGTTGAGTGGTTTTGGCATGATCTGGTTGGTTTGTTCTGCCATTGGCATGATCAAGTTGTTCACCTACGGTATTCATTAGTTTACATAAACTTTCCATTTCTTCTTCTTCGGGCGATCCTTGAAACGTTAATAATTTCTTTATACATTCATGCATAATACGCTCGGTAAGCATATTTAGTTTAAATAATTCTCCGATGAAACGTATTAAACCTAGACCATGTCTTTTGGCTTTCGCAGCTGCATAATATTCATCTGACATGAGATCTGGTTCTCCTTTTTCATTGGCAGGTACTGGAACATTAACTTTCCAGCCTTT